CCCAACTTCTGTCTAGTGGAAATATATGGCAAGAAGTGGTCATATATAATATATGGAATAGTTGCAGTGTGTTTTGGGAACAAGGTAAAGCGACTCAAGTCTGCATGAAAACACAGGAACTGGGTGCAGAAACGTTGCAGCAGGTGCTTTGGACAGATGGGTCAAAATTTGAAAGATTTGGTTGTAGCAGAAGGCTGTTTTTTTTTCATTAATAGCTGGAGAGTGGTACAATATTGAGAGTCTGCAGGCAACAGTAAACTATGGTGAAGGTTCCTAGAACATTTTGTTTCTTCAAATGGAATTGGAAGTTTGGTCTAGATTATTTGCGACACCTGTTCTTTATTATTCACCTGTTTCCCTATTTAGGGACGCTCTTCTTCTTTCCATCTTAGTGGTCCTTCTCTTTTTGGATGTGCGTGAAAACTCTTTCATGAGGCTGCTTGTTCCAGACACCCAGAAGATGTAGGTAAAATACGAGGGCCCCTTAATCCCCCATAGAGACAGAGACCCCCAGAGCCCTATGGATGTGGGTGAAATTTTTTTAACTGGGAGCCGATGCGGGGTCTGGTGTGAGGCAGGTCCCTGACTGGCTCCATTGATGTGCCGTCCATCTTGCGTCAAGGAGCAGCACCTCTTGGTTCCTCTTGGTTTGAGATAATTGATGTTGAAGAAGGAACCCAAATATGAAGTTTGAACCCAAATATGCAGCAATGTAATCCGCCAGTATGGCTCAAGCAGCAAAACCTCATGCTGTATAGATGGTATTTAAAAAAAACTGAAGCTGCAATTCATCATCTGGCCTCTTGATGCTGGTATCAGTAGAGAGCAGATTCCCATTGACGGGTAGTTTTTTTTTTGCAAGGTGTATTCCTTTTTGCTTCGACCAATTTCAGTAAAACTGAAGAATTTGTGATCTAAGTTTGATTATAATTTTATGTTATGGTTGTGAAAAGTTTAGAAATTGTTGCTTTGTTCATTGGGAAAACTACTCGTGTATGCTGACCACTTTACACATGAAATATTTAATTGAATAATAGAAGCAAAATCTCTTGAAAGTGTTCAGAGATGACTTCCGCATCATAAACACTTCTCGCACATTTCAGTGAGCTTTAGAATCTGCACGTGTTGCATACTCTGCTCTCATAAATAACGCACACATTGCAATACAGGAGCTGTAATGCGAGCACCACGTCTGTTGAAGCCTGGCTATTTTTGCACCACAGATCGGCATCACTTAAAGTTCAGACTAAATCTGGCATCAAACAGAGACGGATCTTTGCTCTGGATGCCTTTGCAGGAAGTTTGGAACATTTATACTCTGACAAATGCATTTGTGACTATATCATTTTTGCCGAGACGACTTATTTTCATTTGTCAGATTTTGTTCATTTACTGCACAAATAATTATTTTGAAATAAACTGCAAATCATAACAGGTTTGTCTTAGTTGAGTTTATACTTAAAGTTGAAGCCAAAAAAATTACTTTTTAAAATGCAACTTTTTTCATAATGCGTTTTGTTGTAGACATAAAAATGATTAAGAACATATTTTATTGACTGTTTACCATTTTTATCAGTCTGTCTGTCCATCCATCATTCTATCCATACATCTGTCCGTCCATATTTCGCTCGGTCTGTCCATCAATCTATTCTTCGATCTGTCTGTATTCAATCCATTCAATCTATCTATCCATCCATCCATCCTTTCACCTTTATGTCTACCTATCCACCTGTTGGTCTGCCTATCCATCAGTCTGTCTATCCATCCATCCATTGGTCTGCTTATCCATCCACCTGTTGGTCTATCGGCCCATCCATACATCCATTCATTAGTTGGACAGTTTGTCTTTCCATCCATCCTTTGTTCCTTCTGTCTATCTACTCATCCATCTGTTGGTCTGTCTATCTATCCACCCATCTGCCTGTCTGTCCATCCATCCATCCATCAATTTATCCATCCGTTGGTCTGTCTGTCTTTTCACCCCTCCCTCTGTTGGTCTGTCTATTCATCCAACCCCATTTGTCCATCCATCTCTTCATTGTTTTGTCTTTCCATCCATTGTTCTGTTTGTTTATTCATCCATGTCTATTAGTTCTTCTGTGGGTCTGTCTGTCAATCCGACCATCCATCCTTCTGTCCGTCCGTCCATCCACCTACCCATCAATCCTTATGTCCAGCTGTATGTTCATCAGGTTTTCTGTCTGATTGTTAATGGACAATCTTTCCGTCCATCCATCTTTGTTTCCATCTGCCTGTTTGTCTCTCTGTCTGCCTATCGATATATCCATTGATGTACAACTTGTGTGTCGATCCGCAACTGATATAAACTCACATTACAGTTTTTCTCGATTGGTTTGGCTCATTTCTTGAAACCGAGATGACATTCTCAAAATAACATGGACAAATCTCCAAACCACCCTGCAATTGTTCACAACAGAATGTCATTTTTCATTGGTTTTATCAAATTGCAAATGCTTTAGTACTTATCTCAAGTGACTCTGTGCTTTTTTTCAAATGATTATGTACAATTAGCTACGGTTAGCACAATGAGCCCACATTTAGCACATTTTCCAAATAAATAGATCTTGCTGATCTAAACTGATTAGTTGATTTTTCAGTGAAATGGTTTTTCTCTCCAAAACATATCAGCATGGTTTCATTGTGTAAGTCATCATATGCACAATTGTCTGTTCAACTGTCAAAATTAGACAAAGATATAATACTATGAAAGAATTTCTTGGAACATTTGATAAATTTATGACAGTACTTGACGATCAATCCGGTGAAATTAGAACTAACGAAGGAGCAGTTTCCCACATCTCAGATGACCAATCAAACAGTTTGTTTAGTTACCTGACAGGTATAACAGAGAGCAGCGCGTCGATGGCCAGGAGGATGAGGATAGTGGCCAGGAAAGAGAGGGTGACAATGGCGACCACTGAAAATATTACTGTACTATAGTTCTGAAACTTTATTTACAGTATGGTAGGCTAGAGGTTTTTTTTTTGTTTGTTTTTTGTTTGTGTTTATAACTGTATCCTGTATATGTTTTCTTTTCACAGTATGTTCTCTAACGTTAACATTTCTTTGTACGAATAAAAATGTTTACAGTTTCCTTGAGTATGAGTGGTTTATTGGAGGCTGACTTTACTGTAAAATCTTTTAGTTTTATTCATAGTGGTATTCTGTTACTAGACTTGTGCCTCAGTGACAAAACGTCTAAGCATTTTGACTTGCAGTGCTTAAACAGTGCCAAAGGTATAATGCATTTTGGGGGCATTGACTATTTATATGAGAAGGATGTTTAGTTTTGACACATGGATAAACTGTTTTGGGAGAGATATGAGCTTTTGCAGGGGATCCATGGTGTTGTGCTAAACCATCCAGGTCATTTTGACAAAAGCACTATATGAATACACATGTGCCAAGGCAGTTGAGAAGGATCTGTGCTATTTTGACTCTACTGACCTTTTATATGGGAAAGGAATCTGCTTTTGAAGCATGGAGGGAGAGTTTGGGGAAAGATATTTCATTTTGCTAGTGAGCTATAATGTTGAGCAGAACTGTAAGACTGTTTGGCCAAATTACCTTATGGTTTTGAGAAAGTCATTTCGGTTTCAAGAAATGAGCCAAACCAATCGAGAAAAACTGCAAATAAAGATTGATAAAACAGATAAATAGCAGTTTATCAAACAATCAGTTATCGAGGTGGAATTATATAGTGTAGTCGTAAAGTAGATTGCGTTTATATTTACCTTGCGAATAGTACATGTTGAGCAACTCCCTCTAAAGTTCGCATTATTGGATCATTGTGTAAGTGCGCTGAACTCTGACCTTTTGACCTAGAAACAGAGCGCTTCACTTTGTTAACGTTCACCCTGGAGGTTAATCATTTGTGCATGAAAATGGCGATGTAAAGGCAGCGTAGAAACCAACGTCTGTAAGATGAGACTGTGCTGTATTTCCAAAACTCTGTAGACATCTGATGTGCCCTGAGAACAGAGCGTGTGTCCGTCAGTGTGTGTTCCTGCCAAATACTTTAACTTAGCAACACGATGGCGAACAGGGGTAATTTTCCACCGGCATCATCACTTCCAAACTCACACACACCATGTGCTCCATCATCTCTGATGTCGCTTCTCTGCCGACACACTTAAGTCTTTCAAAAAAACCATTCCCCGAGTGCAAACGTTGATCTTTACAATGAAAAAAATAGTTCAAACATTCACAGCATTTATTTAACTTTAAAAAATCTGAAATGCTCTCCTGGTATTTGTTTAAAGTAGAGCAGGGGTCACTGGGGTTGCAACAAGACTTTTTCTCAAAATAGAAAAGAGCTACTGAGGTCAAACTGATAGTCGACATGTTTTGTCGGCAAGTCTTGGTCTAATAAAATTAAAAATACAACCAGATAAGATCATTCTGTCTACCGACTGCTGAGAGATTAGGTCAGAGAGTAATTTTTAATGATCTGATTTATTCTGTTTTATTTCAATAAAAGACCACGTTTCGTTTACAAAGACTGGCGCCCAATCAACAAAGCACCAATGTTTCAGGATGGGCCTGACTAAAGACATGAGGACCAGCCTCGAAGGTTGAAAGACCCCTCGACTGGAGGCATTCAAGTATCTCCGGGTCTTAGTCACAATTATTTCAGTACATCGGCTGTAGTTATACACTCACTTAACTGGTCTGATGTGGTGAAGAATTACCCGATAAGCAAAGCTCTTGATTTATAACGTATAAGACCAAAAAACAAGCCGCTGCAATCAGTTTCCTCCACAGCGCCACAAGCTTCAGAAAGAATACCCCTCGACATCAGGAGGAGCCAGCTGAGGTGGCTTGGGAATCTGCTTCAGAGTGTTTTCAGGTCTCTTCAAGTCTGGGCTTCTCTGCTTATACTGCTGCCCTGATTCCAGATAAAGTAGTCTAGCTTGGAAACAGGATATCTAGCATAAAAATAATTGTTTCATTTAAATTGAAACTTACTAGAGTTTTGGGCAGTCGTGGCCTAGTTGATAAGGTGATTGACTGGAGATCAAAAGGTCGCCGATTCAATCCCCAGCTCCACTGGGAGTCGGAGGTGGGATGAGTGTTGAACACTCCCTCCAATGACAACCATTTCTGTTGAGCAAGTCACCAGTTACCACAGCTCCCCGGGCGCCACAGCCATGGCTGCCCACTGCTCCCGGAGTGTGTTTATACACTGCTGTGTGTGTGCACTTGGATGGGTTAAATGCAGAGCACAGATTGGGTCACTCCATACTTGGTCCTAACGTCACTTTTACACACATCCAGTTTTTTGAAGGTATTAACTCGTCTGAGGCGTTGAAGAAAAGAAAAAATAACCACATCCCTGGCGACCTGTCCAGGGTGTAACCCCTGCCTCTTACCTGAAGTGCACTGGAGATAGGCCAGATAGACCAAAAGCTGCTGGAATCAACATTCCACAGCTCCATCCTGAATGACAGGAGGTGCTACCCCTCGACAACAAGAGGAGCCAGTTGAGGTGGCTTAGGCATCAGTTTCTGCCCTGATTCCAGATAAAGTGGATAAAATGTTTTTTTTGCTTGGAAATGCAATATCTCGCATGTGCCAATATAATCGGTTTCACTACAGAATTCACTACAGAAGACGAAGGATCCTCATCTCATCTGACCACAACACTTTCACCCAGTTCCCCTCTGAATCATTCAGACGGTCTATGCAAACTTAAGACGTGCTTTCCTGAGCATGAGGAACATTACGGAACAGCAACCAAAGTGTTACCAATTGTTTTCTTGGTGACTCTGGATGCACCTGCCTGAAGATCATTGAAGATGTCATCTTGTGTAGTTCTGGGCTGGTTGGTTAATGGTCTCATGGCTAATGGTTGCAAAGCTTCTGCTCAACCACATTCATCTTGCAAATAAGACCAAAAGATCTGGGAAACAATCCACTGGATCCACTACCCCTCATCCAGAGGAGGCCAGCTGAGGTGGCTTGGGCATTTCTTTCAGATGATTAGCCTAGAGAATGCCGCAGAACAATCCAGAACACTCTTCAATAGCTCTGTATTCCATGGAGAGAGAGAAGGCTGGGCTTCCCCGCCTTCTGCTAGAAAAGGTGGTATCCATAAAAATAAAATGGCCAACTACAAACTGGTTTTACATACTATGGCTTCGCATACAGTATGGGCTCCTTGTCTCATCTGACCACAACACTTTCACCCAGTTCCCCTCTGAATCCTTCTGATGTTCTCAGCAAATGTAAAACATGTGCTTTCTTGACCAAACAAAGTGTTACCAATTGTTTTCCTGGTGACTCTGGATGCAGTAGCTTTGATGCAGAGATCCTCTTGTGTCATTTTGCACTGGTTCTCAAACCTTGTGATGTGGAAAAAAAAAACGAAGCCCGGACCAAAGGTTTCCATTCAACTAACTGGTCTGATGTGGCGAGGAAAAAATAAGAATATTAAAGCTCTTGCTTTACCACATTCCTCTCACCAATAAGACAAAAAGATCCTGGAAACAAGCCGTCCCTGCGTACGCTGCCGCCCTGATTCCGTTGCCAGGTGCTGCTCATAAGGCATGTGCATTTAAAGAAGAGCGGGGCTGACAATCGAGAGGAGAGCGTCACTCTCCTGTCAGCCTCGTACCCTAAAGCAATGGCCAGGATATCAGTGAAAATCACTTTTAACTCTTTTTTTTTGGATTTAATTAAGAGTAAATCTCGTTTAGCTTGGACTGTTTCCGTGAGCCCTCTCTTGCAAAACCGAGGCAGCTTGGAAAAGGGATATCTATAGCATGTGTCAGTATACTAACTATGTTACCCCTTGTCTCAGGTGACTACAACACTGTCACCCAGGTCCCTTCTGAATCAGTCTCTGCAAACTTAAGACAGACTTTCTTGAGCTAAGGGAACATTACGTGGACCACAACAAAATTGTCAACAGTTGTTTTCTTGGTGACTGGATCCAGATGATCAAATAGGAAATCCTCTAATATAGTTTTGAACTGGTTCATACATTTGTGTATAATCTCAACAACTGGCTGTTTTGGCCTTGGAGAGGATTCCTGCTGAGTGTAGCTTTACGATCTTTCCTTGAACTGCTCTTTGATCCCGGCCATGATGATTTTGGAACCGAATTGCTTCACAGATACATTTCTTCTGTTCAGGTAAGATGCTCTTTGTAAGAGAGGCTACTAATCTCAGTTAGCTACCTGAAGAAAAGACCCCTGGGAGCAAATCCAGCTAAAAGTCTTTTAAAGCCATCATCAGTCTGTAAGCAATGCAGAGTTCAGTCAGTAAAGGCTGTTAAAAGATGTGTTTTTAGCCTGGATTTAAGTAAGTTTTAACACCTCTAGTTCAAGTTCAAGTTCAAGTTCGTTTAATTTATATAGCGCTTTTCACAACAGACATTGTCTCAAAGCAGCTTTACAGTAAACCAACAAGTTTAAACTCAACAAAGTGAAAAGAAATTAATTACTAAGTGGTGTATATGTCCCTGATGAGCAGGACTAGGGCGACTGTGGCAAGGAAAACTCCCTTTTGGAAGAAACCTTGAGAGGAACCGGACTCAAAAGGGAAACCCATCCTCATTTGGGTAACAACAGCAGTGTGATAAACTATGGTATAAACAGATGATCTATCTCTAATCTCTTCTACAAGCTGAACAATAACAATGTCATCGACCGCACAGTGTTCAGGGATTATTGCTGTAGAAATCTGCAGTTTCAAATGGAAAACAATCTGAAAAAGTTTTTAAATTACATGCATCTCACAAATAATGAACACCGACACACTGTTTCATCAGAGATCTCATAAAACGGGAATTCTGAGCTTCGAAAATCACATAACGTGTGTTTTTTTCTAAACGATCCTGTGACACCAACTTTAGAAAAAGGCAGCTTTGCAAAACACCAAATAAATTAGATTTGCTTAGCTCTGGTCAAGGGTGCAAAATACTATCCTAAAGGCACCAAAATCATATATATTTTAAATGATTGCAGTGTTTACTTTTGTCGCATCAACATTATATTGGAACAATCTGCAGAATAATGGTAGAGACTCACCATTTGTCCAGCTCCTCTTTGGGAAGCGTGCACTGAGCAGGAACCTCTTCTGGCATTTTTCTTTCTTTCTTTCTGCTACACGGAGAAGGTGATCTGCACGAGTGGAGCCTTTATAAGAAAGTTCAGGCTGCAGAAGGAATATATATAGGATTACAGCACTTCCCATGCAGTCAGGGAGGGAGTAGGGAGAAGAGAGGGAGGAGAAACAGATGACAGAACGTACAGCAGAAATATAGTAAAGGTGACCTCCTGCATGGGCAAAGTTCAACTCAAGGGAGGCTGTACCAAACTGCATGAGCTGGGTCCGGTTCCACATTACTTTATTGCTCTGTATCATTTCATGATTATCGTGTCTTTTTTTGCAAAGCAAGAGAAGTGATAAGAGCAACAAAAATGCATTATTTGTGCTTTTTACAGGTACCATTTTTTATTTGGTGAGACGTATATTAAAGTTTGTTTGTAAAACTGCTGAAATGTTTTATACATTTTAGTAAATATCATGCTGCGCAAAGGAGTGGAAAGGTTATTTAAACAAAGAATGCTTTCAAGTGGAAGTATGAACAAGTTGATGAACAAAACAGAAATCTTTTGCTTTCAAAATGCAATTTTTCTAGAGAGACGCGCACACAGTTGCTAAGGAAAAATCTACTAGGTTTGTAGATTGCTCCAAACACCTCCTGTTTGGGATTATATCACTTCCCAGTAATTCTTGTTCTTGTTTACACTAAAAAAAGGTCTTAATGATGTTATGTTTTAAGTTGTTATCCGTTGTACATTTCATCGAAGGGTCGGAGCGCAGAACAAAAATGGAGGAGGTTCCTTTATAGTTTGGAGCTGCATTTCTGCAAATGGAGTAAATGGGGCCAACCATTTACCTTCATGGTGGTTCTGCTGGATGGATAGGTGCCTGCTGGTATTTCTCAGCATTGAGAAGGCCCTTTATCCTGAAAAAATCCCCAACTCCATTTGCAGGAATGCAGCTCCAAACTATAAAGGAACCTCCACCATGCTTCACTGTTGCTTGCAGATACTCATTTTTGTACCGTGCACCGATCCTTCGACGAACAATCTGCCTTCTACATTTAAATACTTCAAATTTGACTCATCAGTCCAGTACATCTGCTGCCAATTTCTGCACAAAGTGCCGGAAACTCTGTAGCCAGAACAGATGCACATCGACCTGCCGGGATGTTGCCCTCAAAGGAGACAAAAAAAAAAACGTTGGATGGACCAAATCGAAGAAGGAATGAAGAGAGTTGCAGCTTTTTGGCTGAAACTCTTCAATGAATCTTTTGGCCATACTTCTCCGGACAGTAGATGAGTTTAACTGGGTCACACTGAATTCTACAAGTTCTGAACTTCTGGAGTTCTTCATATGTCTTTCATCTGCCCACTGCTTCTACTTTTCTGTTTCATTGTGCATCTTCAAAGGAACTCGAAAAGCACATCTTAAAATCCTGATCTTCTTTGAAAGCTTTGTCTGGGAGAGACCTTGTTGATGCAGTATGACTACCTTGTGTCTTGTTGCTGTGCTCAATTTTCCCATGGCAGGAAATGGTCTAGGGCAACCTCACCTTGGTAGCAGAGGTTAGCTGTTTCTCACCACGTTTGAACAGCCTACACAGTTCATAACTGGTTTTCACCTGATTTTTGGTATAATTAAATCATAGATCAATTTCACACAACAAAAGTGTACCAATAAGAATTTATTCGTATTTATATTCGTTTTCAATCTCATTGGCTCTTCAATTTTTTTTTAAATACTTAAAAATGCACGCAAATTAGGGAACGCAGAACAGTATACAGAAGCACAAAAAGTTACACTTTTTGATTAATGAAGAGACAAGAGAATTAATTTCAGCACAGGCGAGTCCGTACCGCTATTTTGTAATTCAATGGAATGACGTCACAAGTGGCGGGTAAAAATAAGAAAGAAAAAAAAAACAAAAAGAAAAAACTAATTAAAGAAATATAATATAATATAATATAATATAATATAATATAATATAATATAAT